AGCTTAGCGCTACGCTGCTCAGGTTTTTATTAATGGGGTGGAGCGGAGACAGGATGGAGTCACGTCTGTGTTGCCCGCCTGCTAGCTTAGTGCTACATTGCTGTCGGTTTTTACTGAAGATGGAGGGCGGGGGGATGCAGAGCAGAGCGGTACGTCAGTAGCTACATCAATACCGACAGTGGTCGACCGGGGGGAGGGGGTTGGTAGGCAGGGCACTCAGTTCTGTTGATGGGGCACCCCGCTTGTATAATGGTATGGGAATCACTGATATTTCTCTCACTTTTACTTGGTTTAAGATCGTCCAAGTTGGTAAAAAACTACTTTCTGTTTTGTCTCATCAAGAGACGCTCCAAATGACTTTTGTTCATTTAGGAAAGTGGTGGTTAGAGCTGTCGCCTCGGAGCAAAATGGTTGCAAGTTTGCTTCCGAGACGGGGGCCTTTCTGGGTGGCGTTTGCGCCGTGCACTCGTGGGTACTCTGGTTTCCTCCCACAGAACAAAAACATGCATGTTAGGCTGATTGGTGACTGAATTGTCTCTAGAGGTGAGTGAGAGTGAATGGTTGTTTGTCTCCATGTGTCCCTGTGGTGGACCAGTCCAGGGGTCCCCCCCCCCACACAGTAACTGCTAAAGATATGCACCTGCTCCCCTGAAAGGAAAACGCAATGGATGATGTAGATAAAAGAGCGCAAAGCAAATGGTTTTGTGACGAATGAAAGCATCCCGTCCTCTTCTGGCTCACACACGTAACAGGATCAGGAGGGAATCCCAGACATCCCTTTGCTCAACTCTCCAGCTCCTTTTGGGGGGGTCCGAGGCATTCCCAGGGCAGAAAAGAAATGCAGAATAACCCCTCCAGCAAGTTCTGGGTCTGCCCCGGGGTCTCATCTCCTAAAAACATCTACAGGGAGGCACTCAGGAAGCATCCTTATCAAATGCCTGAACCCTCTCAGTTGACTCTTTTTGACGCAGAGGAGCAGCGGATGCTCCCCCCAGATGACAGAGCTCTTCATCCGACCTCTACAAATGGAAACAGACTTTTTTTATGCGGTCCGCAACCCGTCTGCACGAGGCCTAATGTTCATTGTCTTTCCTGTCTTCTCAAAGTCTGTCCTCAGAGGACGAGCCAAACTGCTCCTTTCACGTTTTGTTCTGCTTCAGCTTCTTTCAGCTTCCTTGTGATAATTTAAACTTTTTTTTAGCTATTTACAGCAAATTTCAGCTGTTTTCTTTGTTAAGATTATTTTTGCTAAATACAACATTTAAGTTTCTTTTACCTTTGTTTTTGTTTTGTTTGTGCCAATTTCAGCTCGTTATGCTCCTTTCAGCTTATTTCTGCAAGTTTAATTTTTTTAACTATTTCAGCTACTATAGCTGTTATGCTATTTTAAGCTTTTTCAACTAATTCCACATTTTAAAAACTATAAACTTTTTTCAGCCTAATCTAGCAAAAATGTGTTCTCGCCACTTCTTTCTTGTAATTTTAGCTTCTTTCTGATTTTGTAGCTACTTTTCAGCTGTTGTTTTTTTACTAGTTTCCACTTTTTTGTGCTAATTTTTGCTTCTTTCAGTCTAATTGGGCAAACATATTATTTCTGCTTCCTTCTGCTAATTTAAGCTTGTTCTACCTTTTCAGCTACTTTATTAGCATTTTAGCTGCTTTCAGATAAATTCAAGTTTTTTTGTGGTAATTTCTGCTACTTTCAGCCTAATTAACTTTTCTGCTAATTTCAGCTTGCTATGCACTTTCAGCTTTTTTTTTCTGCTAGGTTCAGCCTTTTCTGCTATTTCAGCTATGTTTTAGCTGTTTTGTGCTATATTTAGCTTTTTCAGATAATTCCACTTTTTTTTAAGCTCATTTCAGCTCCTTCCACTTCCTTCTGTTATTTTAAGCTTCTTTTTGCATTTTCAGCTACTTTCAAGCTTTTTGGTTGCCAATTTCACCTTTAGCCAATTTCCTAATTTTGTGCTAATTTCTGCTTATTTAAACCCAATTCAGCTAATACATGTTTTTTCTGCGTTCTTCTGCTAACTTGGGCTTGTTCTTCCATTTCAGCTACATTTCACCATGCTTTTAGCGAATTTTAGCTGTTTTTTAGCAAAAAACATTCACACTGCATTTTCTCTAGTTAATCATGCTTTCCAGGAACTGTTGTAAAACAGGGGGTAATATGTTTAAAAGATTAAAATACAAGAAACTCAAAGTATTTGGTGCTACTGGGTTATGGATCGTAACTATGACTGGCACTGGGAGACACTTTATACTTAACTGATTATATTCCTGAGCAGCTCAAATAATCCAGAGTTCTATCTAACCGTTACCAGATGGCGTCTCCTAAGTGCTTACAGACTACGTTCGTCTGCATTACGAACTCCTGGAAAAAGCAAACTGGATGCCATCCAAGTCTCTAACAAACGATACATGGTGAGGTGACCAGAAATGACTTGTGACAGTCGGGACCACTAATAATTAGCGGTTTAAAACCGGATTGTTTTCCTTGTGTGGGTGTTATACTTACACCACTTTGCCTGGCATGTAGAGCAGGAGGGGAACCACGGGCGACTCCTCACTGCCGTAGATGATGAAGCCGAGCTCCTTCAGCCTGGCTCGGAAGTACTTGGTGTTTTCTGCCAGCTGTCGTATCCGTCTAATGCCTGCACGTTAAAACAGATGTGCACGAGTAAAGCACCAACTTCACCCGCCTCCCCCTGCAGGGAGCAACTTTACACTTCCAATTTAACAAATGTGGTCTCGCCCTGGGACCTGCATGTCCATCTGGGCTGACCAGCAGTCAGCTGCAGCAGACGTTGGTTCAGTTTGGTCTGAGTGACCGTTCCTTACGACCACTTGTTTGTTGCCTGAGGCCTTGAATGATGGAGTTCATGCAATCAGAGCCAAACTGAAGGTTATTAAAGGCATCCTGGCACCTTTCATGCCTGAGTTTCTATCTACAAGTGAATAAAGTTAGAGCTGTTTTGGTCAAATCTTGAGGATAATGCAACTTGCAAGATCTTGAATAATCTTTTAGCAAACTTAAATGATTGTTTTGAGTGACTCTCAGCTACCATCACGCCAAATATTAGCTCAATGTCTGTCAAATTGACTGAATTATACTCATTTATGTGTTTTTCTACGCTCAGCTGACAGGGACAGTCATTTTATATCAGGTTCACTCTGAGCGATAATCAATTGTAGATGTACAGTAGTCACTCGATACTTCGCGGTTCAACTTTCGCGAACTCACTCTTTCACGGGTTTTCAACGAACGATTGTACGCAACACACGATTGGAGATGGGGAAAGACAGACCCCACTCTGTCCCCTCCTTTCTCTTTCTGATGCCGTCTGTTTCAGCAGAGGTGATGGGGAAAGACACACCACCCCGCCCCCTACTTTCTCTTTCTCTGCTGTGACAGCCTCAAAAAAAGAAAAAGAAAGGAAGGGGCAGGGAATGGGATCGGTCTTTCCCCATCGTTACTGTTCAGGAAGAAGGGATGAACAAATCAGATAAACTAATGTACAATATCAGAGAAAATGCTTAGGTGGAAAAATAAAAGAGAGTGAATGGTTGTTTGTCTCGTTTGTCTCTGTCGCCCTGTGATGGACTTGCAACCTATCCAGGGTGTACCCTGACCCCTCGCACAGTGATTGCTGGACATGGGCACCGGCGACCCCCGTGACCCAAAATGGAAGAAGTGGGTAAAAGATAATGGACGGAAAAACAAAAGTGAATCAGTTTAAAGAGAGAACGAGTGCGACTCACTCGGGTATGAGACAGACCATCTTGCCCCCTCCTTTCTCTTTCCGAGGCTGTCCCAGCACAGAAAGAGAAAGGAGGCGGCGGGGGGTGGGGTCTGTCTTGCCCCATCGTGTCCCATACAACGGGCGGGCGCGCAACAGTCAGCCTTGGAAAAAATGGAACTTCTCAGAGACAGAGATTCTTTATTGTCGTTTGCACCACCTGGTGGAACGAGATTATGTGCACAAGGTCCCAGTTACATCCAACAATAAAATGTAAAAGAAAAACAGCAATAAGATCTAAGATATGAACTAAGAAAAACATCAACTAAATATACACCAAGCACTAATAGCATAAAAACAATAAAAATAATAAATACTAAATTAAATATAACGTCCCTACTTCGCGGATTTTCATTTATCGCAGGGGTGTCTGGAACGTAACCCCCGCGATAAGTGAGGAACTACCGCACAGTCAGTAATTCCTTAGATAGAGAACTTTACTAATTTGCTTTTTATGTATGTGAATGTTCCTGTAAAGTGCACTGAGACAACTTTGTTGTGATTTGGCGCTACATAAATAAACGGAATTGAATTAATTATTTCTTGAAAGTTTTATAAAAATCCTTTCATTCGCTCACGAGATATTTTGCTAACAGACAGGCAGCGTTGACACCAACTGTTATTCCCAACATTGAAAGCAAATATCTTGCTCATTAGGTAGAGCTCGGAGTATTAGCTGGAGGTGACTTTCAGCTACTTCTACATCAGGTTTTAGCTCCAAATCTGTAAAACTGACGACATTATATCAATTTTTAAGGTGAGTCCGCGGTGGCAGCCATCTTGAACTGTGCTAGCTCAAAAGTCCGTTAGTTGCATGAGGCACATCCAGTGGTTTTATCCTGAAAGTTTCAATGAAATCTGTCCAGGGCTTCATTAGATATTTTGCTAACAAACAGCATTGACTCCAACTAGTTCATGGTAAAAATCTTGTTAGCTCTCAGAATACGTCTCAGCTACTTTTGTGTTTTTTAAAATTAGGTGGTGGCAGCCATCTTGAACTGGGTTGCCCTCCACAGTTGATCAGTTGCAGCTGTACCTCCAATGTTTACTTTCATTAAAATTTGATTCACAAGATATTTTGCTAACAGTCAAACAAATGCACACAAACGGGCAGGAATATTATCTCCTGCTTTTTGATAGCGTGCAATTAATATAAATATTCTCGGGGTCTGTTCAGTATTTGCAATGATTGTAGTAGAGAGCAGATCAAAGGAAGCAGAGCCCCCCACCACACACACACACACCCAGAAGTTCCTGGGGAGCCGGCTCGGTCCAGTCTTGGAACACAGCTCTGTTTCCCTCTGATTACCTGGGAACTGATCGGCAGTTCCTTCAAAGAGGAGAGCGCTTTAAATCCCCTTATCTCAGCAAAGCAAGGGAGAAGGAGAGAAAAGAAACGACGTCACATCTGCCAAAAACACGGGGCCCATTTTGCAAATTGCTCTTCTTTGCCGAGACGCGAGGCCACGCAGGTCAAAAACCTGCTGCGAGACGCAGGAATCGTACGGGCGGGCGAGGAGGACGTGCGGATGCTGCTAGCTGTCAGAGTAACCAAACGTTTAACATCAAACTACTTCGGTCCAAACCTTGAAAATGACGTGTGGCTCAGTCTCAGGAGACGTCTTTCCTGGTCCGACTCGATGCCTCTCAGCTACCACCACACCCAGTTTAAACATCCGTCAATCCATTTTCACCGGGCCTCGAGGACCCACTGGGCTTTAGTTCCTGCTCAGATGAACCCGTTCCAAAACTCTAGGCGAGATGTAAATATAACTAGAGAAACTGCATTTCCTGCAAAAATGCAGTGTGAATACTTATTGCTTAAGAACTTGCAGAAAAACAGCTGAAATTAGCTAAAAAAAACAAAACAAACATGCTGAATTGTAGCTGAAATGGAAGTACAAGCCTCGTTTTTCATTCAACCTTTATTTATACAGGATAGTCTCGTTGAGCCTCGACAACTCATTTACAAGAGAGACCTGTTTTAGACAAAGAACATTTATATCTTAACATGTGGTTCTTGTCCTGCCATTGTGTATCTGTTCCTCTCAAACCCAGCCGGTCGAAGCAGATGGCCGCTTATCCTGAGCCTGGTTCTGCTAAAGGTTTCATCCTCATGAAGGAGTTTTTCTTTCCACTGTCGCCTTCATGCTTGCTCAAGATGAGAGTTCTGTGATGGAGTTAGACTCAAAGCTGCTCCTCAGATAAACAATGTTGTTAATTTACTTTTTACAAATATAAATGTTTCTGTGCCCTGACATGACTTCTGTTGTGACTTGGTTCTATAGAAATGAACTGAATTGAATTGAACACAGATGAGGTAGAGACAACAGTGGACAATCATAAAAAAAAGCATATAAAATGAAAAGTAAATTAAAAAAATGACATAAAAACTAAACAAACAGCTTCATTATAGCGCGGTGTAAAATACTAAAACCAGGAACACGTCTGTGCTGGTTTTTCCCATGAATTTAACAGTTGTGAGAGGTCAAAGTTGAAAACTTCAGATCTTTTTGCAAGGTGTTCCAGGAAACGGGAGCGGAGTAGGAGAAGGTCCTTTTCCCAAGTTCAGTGTGTACTGAGGGGACGCTGCAGGTAACAATGTCCTGAGAGGGCAGTATGAAGGCAGCAGACTGACAAGTGATTTAACAATGAAAATGTACCAGTGGGAGAGTCTGTGTGAAGTTAATGATGACCAGTTAACCAGTGAATACTGGGTGTAGTGGTGGGTACGGTAGTTACAGCCAGTTATCTTAGTGCACCGTGATAGACAGCGTCCAACATCTGCAGGGTGCTTGTAGGAGCGTTCATGTAAATAATGTTACAGTAGTCAATGGTGGGAAGGAAAGCATAAGAATATAAGTATAAGGAAAGTTTCCCCTACCAGCGCTCTGCATACCGAACTCCCCCCCCCCCCCCGACAACCGCCGTTACTGCCGTAGCGCTAAGCTAGAGGCGAGCAATACAGACACGCTAGCTAAAAAGCTAGCGCTCCATCTCCCTCCGGCCGACTGTGCAAGCAAAAAAAATTGTTTTAACCTTGACCTTGATTTGTGACCTTGACCTTAGAGCTGGGGTGATGAAAAGTGTACAGAACACTCCGTATAGTGATGATGCATCGTGTGTATGAAGTGCCGTCATATTATTTTGAGCGGATCAAAGGTTATGGGCTGGACAGGAGAACGTTTACAGACGTCTGTACGAATCGACAAACAGAATAAACTGCAACTGTTTCCAACAGGCGTACAGAAAAAAACTAAAAAAATAATCCTGGGTTTTGATCTGTAGTCTCCCACATGATAGCACAAAGGAGATTCCACAACTGCACCAATCTGATGAGGACAACATGCTCAGATCTTGCCCCCCCGTTACATAATCAAGCTGCAACAATACGAGCGGTTCTTTATCAGACACGGCCCGGTAACGGCTTCTTTCCTTCCTGTGTGTCCGATGTCATTAAAGCAGTTACTTTTCAGAGTGATAGCATTCTTCACAACACTTACATGAAAATGCTTGTGGCCTAATCCCACTCCACCCCCCACCACTGCAGACCCCTGTAATTACTTCCACATTTCCTGACTCAACAGCTGTTTGCGTTTTCCTGCAGGTCCAACTCCCAATGTTAACGTTGGCGTTGTCCACTGGTTAGGTTTTAGTTGTTTCCACCCAGCAACTCATAAAAAGTGTGAAGATTTATCCAAACCACGCTCGATATTTGTCAGCGTGAGGACCAAACGGATCGTCTGGAAGCACGCCCCGAAGGTGAAGACCTTTTCTAACCTAAACAATCCAAATGAAACGAGCACTGCTTGAAGGAAGCTCACGGCAAAGTGTCTGCAAAGCAGTTTTCTCGCAGTCCTGCTGACTGATCAACAAACAGGTGTGTGGGTGTCATCTCATACCTTCTGTGGTGCCATCTCTTCCTATGATGCACTTCATGGCTCGTATGATCTGCTCCGTAATGACAGGGGACATGGCTGAGGCGTAAACTGCACTGTGAGAATGACTGCGCAGGTAATCCACCAGATCCTGAAACGTCAAACAGACATTTGATACAAAAATACAACAGTTTAAGAAAGAAAACACCCAATTAGAAAAATTGCATTTCCTGTGAAAATGCAGTGTGAATGCTTATTGATGAAGAGAACTTGCTGAAAAACAGCTGAAATTAGCTAAAAACATGCTGAAATGTAGCTGAAATGGAAGAACAAGCTGAAATTAGCAGAAGAAAGCAGAAAGAACATGTATTTGCTGAATTAGGTTTAAATGAGCAGAAATTTGCACAAATATTCGGAAATTAGCTAAAATTGCTGAAATTAGTAAAAATAAAAGCCGAAAATAATCGGAAAAGGCAGAAAGCAACTTAAGCAGAAGGAAGTAGAAAGAGCTGAAATTGGCTGGAAAAATGTGGAATTAGCTGAAAAAGCTAAATTAAGCACTAAAATGGCTAAATAGTAGCTGAAACTAGCAGAAATAACCTGAAAGGAGCAGAACAAACTGAAATTAATTAGGCTGAAAGTAGCAAAAATTACCACAAAAAATTAAATTTATCTGAAAACAGCTGGTTAGCTACAAACATGTTTTTTTTTTTTTAAAAAGGGTAGAACAAGCTTAAATTAGCAGAAGGAAGTGGAGAGAGCAGATTTTCCAAATTTGGCTGAAAGAAGCAGAAATGAGCACAAAACAGTGGAAATTATCTGAAAAAAAAAAAATGCTGAAACTGGCAAAAAAGAAACCGCTGAAAAGTGGCAAAAAATACAGAAAGAGCTTAAATTACCAGAAGGAAGTCCAGAGAGAGAGAGAGAGAGAGAGAGAGAGAGAGAGAGAGCACATTTTGCTGAATTAGGCTGAAAAAAGTTTAAATGAGTAAAAAATGTGGAATTGGCTGAAAAAGCTTGAATTAGCATAAAACAGCTAAATAGTAGCTGAAATAATTTAAACTAAGAAAAATGCTGAAAGGAGCATAACAAGCTGAAATTATCAGAAAAAATTAATTAGGCTGAAAGTGGCAAAAATGACCACAAAAACTTGAATTTATCTGAAAACGGCAGAAATGAACTAAAAATGCTAAAACATTAGCTGAAAATGTAGAAAAAGTTTAAATTAGCAGATGAAAGCAGTACACGTTCGCCCAGTTAGGCTGAAAGAAGCTGAAATGAGCACAAAGGAAGTGGCAATTATCTGACACAATCTGCAATTAGCATAAAACAGCTGATAAGTAGCTGAAAAAGCAGAAAGAAGCTTAAATTAGCAGAAGGAAGTGGAGAGAGCACATTTTTGCTGAATTAGGCTGAAAAAAGTTGAAATGAGTACAAAAAAATGTGGAATTAGCCAGAAAAGCTGAAATTAGCATAAACCAGCTAAATAGTAACATAAATAAGCTGAAAGAGCATAATAAGCTGAAATTAGCAGAAAGAAGTTAGAAACACAACAATGTTGTAGTTAGCAGAAGCAACACCCGAGGTCATTAGATCGTGTCATTTTCCCGTCATCTCAGCACCGAGTATAAAAAAATCCCCCTCCACTCAGAGGGAGCCAGCACTCTTAATCTGAAGAAGAACCAAAGACAAAGTTCATCAGAATGACGGTCTGAAACGCCAGCAGGAGATTAGTCCTGCCAGTGGTTGCCAACAGAGGAGCAGGGGGAATATCAGGATCTGGTCCCGGCTCCGAGAACAGGAGCTCAGAGCAGGGCCCGGAGCTGTGATGGGCTGCGAGTACCGCGGTGAGGACACGTAGCCGGAGCTGATGTCTGACCACCGTTTCCCCTCACCGCCATCTGTCCCCACAGGGCGGTTGGTGGCTGCGGTGAAGAAAAGGGATTTTTCTTATTCTTGCTGGAAATGCTCAAACGTACCGAAGAGGAACTCTGGAACAAACCTGACATCTGGTTTTGTTTAAGGCGGAGGATTTTCACAGCTTCGTGGTCCCGGAGGATTTCAGTGCGACCAAGATAAGCCAGTTAGGAGAACATGTCTGAAATCCATCTCATGCCTGGGGTCTGCAGTGACGACTCGGGGTGTTTCTTGGGCCGCACAGTGGTCACAGCGCCATTTATTCAAAAAGCCACACGGTGGGGAAGAGGCCAGGGCAGCACGTATCCGTGTACAAACCCGACTCTTTGAAACAGACTTTGATTGAACGCTGAATCAGAATTCACACTATTTTTTTTTTTTTTGTACTTTAACAACCTCCTTATACGTTGTGCTAATTCAGCCATTGATCAGAACGTTTCAGCTCATCCAGGAGAAGGTTGTCCTGACTTTTGGTTTTTGTAACTTTTATATTAAAAAAATAAATTAACTTCATTTGAAAATAGTTTCCCCAAATAAACATCAATAAATATTTTTAATCCACTTCAGCAAAATGGCTCAATTTTTGTTCTTCTTATGCTACTTTTAGCATTTAGCTAATGTTCTGCTACTTTGAGCTTTTAACTAGTCTTTTCCTACCTGTAGCATTTAGCTAACATTTGCCAGTTTTTACTTTTAGCTTCTGTTCAGCTACTTTTACCTTTTAGCAAACATTTTGCTATGTTTAGCTAGCCATTTGCATGCTTTTTAGCTTTTCTTTTGCTACTTCTAGTTTCTAACTAAGCACTATGTTTTGCTACTTTAATCTTTTAGCTGGGCTTTTAGTACTTCTAGCTTTTAGCTACCTTTTTGCTTCGTTTAACTTTTAGCTGGCATTTTGCTACTTTTTTCTTTTAGCTAGCCTATTGCTATTTTTAGACTGTCATTTGCTTAGTTTTGTTTTTAGCTTTCTTATTGCTAATTTCTGCTTCAAGCTACTATTTTGATGCTTTTAGCTTCCAGATAACTGTTATATTTAGGTTGTTTTGCTCCTTTTAGCTAGCATTTTGTTTTGCTAGTTTAACCTAATGTCCTGTGACTTTTAGCTAATGTTCTGGTACTTCAAAGCTTTAGCTTTCCTTTTTCTACTTCTAGCTTCTAACTAGCCACTATGTTTAGCTATTCATTTGCTACTTTCAACTTTTGTTTAGCTATTTTAATCTTTTAGCTGGGCCTTTATGATTTCTAGCTTTTAGCTACCTTTTTTGATTTGTTTTGCTTTTAGCTAAAACGTTGCTACTTTTTGCTTTTAGATAGCCTATTTCTATTTTTAGCCCATTTGATATGTTCCGTTCCTGGCTTTCTTCTAGCTAATTTGTGTTTCAAGCTACCTTTTTGCTGCTTTTACCTTCCATGTAGCTTTTTGGTATATTTAGGTCGTGTTGCTCCTTTTGGCTTGCATTTTGTTGATCTAGCTTTATCCAATATCCTGTGACCTTCAGCGTTTAGCTAATGCTCTAGTACTTCTAGGTTTTAGCTAGCCTTTAGCTAATTTTACCTTCAAGCTAGCTTTTTTCCTCATTTTAGCCTTTCTTTTTATTAGCTTTTAGCTAGTGCCCTGTATCTTTGAGCTTGCATTCTGCCCGTTAAGCTTTAATAGCTTGGTGTCGGTTTCTTCAGCAGGTTTCAGCTGTCATTTTAGCTCTCAGCAGAAAGGCAGTTCCTCTACTTGTTTACATTTTCAGAGAGCGATTCAGATTCTGACTAACGAATAAACGAATCACGTTTGATCCGAAGTGGTTCGACGACCTTCAGAGCGTATTTATTTTGGGCCATCTCATAAAACAACTCGAAGATGACTGTTCTCCAGAACACATCTGCAGAACCTTTTTCTTGGTCGACCCATTTCCACTTACTGCAGGATCTGGGGCACCACAACAACAAATATGTCAAACCTAAAGGTTTTCACTCTCTGGGTTTTACAGCAGCCAGCTGTCAACCCGGGCAGGGTGTTCGTACTTCAAACATCATCGTGCTCGTTAAGAGTCATCCCGTTAAATCTGGAGCGCAGTTCCGATGCGTGCCACAAGAAGGGGCTGGCCCTCTGCCAGCTTTACCTTCTTATTACAGCGAGGGCAGAGAAAGGAAGGGTCGCCCTCCTTCACTACCTAAAATCAAACAACAAGGCTGCTTTCTAATCAACAGCCACGAAACCAGCGCCGTTGTGTACTAAAGTGGACTTTTTAATAGACAGAGGGAATGAAAAAGACCCGGAGTCGAAGCTTTTGGAACATTTGTTGGACACATGGGGACTGCAGAAGAGGTGGAGTTGGACTGGTCGACTCTGAATCATCCCGAGAGACGTTCCCAAAATGCTTTCTAACATTTTCCGACTTCCAGCAGCGTGTTTGAGAATGATTCATAGGATGTGTTTTATTTAGCCGAATGAGCTCGTTGGATTGTTACGAAGCTGGCTGAGCTGATTTTCTTTATGGAACGATAAATAAAGACAACTGGACTTCTTCCATGGGGATTAAATCCACCTTCTTATTTCTAGAAATCTATCTGGACCCTGTTGGGAGAATGAAGCTAAGCAGCTGGGCTGTGTGTGGCGTTTTAAAGTTCTCTCTTTTCTAGACGACTATGGATGGGACCTCCTAAAGGTCAGAGGTTTTCCTTCAGCGCAGAGACGTGATCGATAGGCCTGTCACGATAACAAATTTTGCTGGGCGATTAACTGTCTCAGAAAATATTGCGATAAACGGTAATATTGTTTGAAATTTGACAATAATTAGTAATTGTCAAATTTAAGAAGAAATGTTTGTTAATTTTGTATGTAGTACCTTTTTTTGACCACTGGATGGCAGTAAAAGACTGAACCGAAGGATGGATAGAGAGGGAGCGAGCAGCGTGTCTTTTTAAACAAAATGGGAGGGAGGCCCATTGACGTGACATGGGTTGTCTCTCCTTCCTTCGGTTCTCAAAATGATGGACGCTCGGTGTGGTTTGAGCTGTTTAGCATAGCATTTTTCACACAAAGCTTTTAATAAAAAAAAGTAAACAAGTTCTCAGCTTCTTTTTGCAAAAAAAACCAACGTTTTAGACGAAGGCACGGGTTTCAACCGTGAATTTTGGAGCTTCGACAAGACGGAGGTCCCCCCCCCCGAGGTCGGCCTGTTAGCTTAGCTCGTAGCTTAGCTTCTTGGCTTAGCTGCTTTTAACGATTCAAAAACGCGATTTTGGACGGTTAAACAGATTTTAAAGAGAAAGAGAGGGGTCAGTGAAGAGCACCGGTGTCTTCAGTAGAAAGAGAGAGACACGAAGAAACGATAAAGCAGATAAATGAAAATGAGTTTGATCATTTTCATTCGTCATGAGATTAATTGATTTATTGTTTATCGCGACAGGTCTAGTGATCGATTTTTGATTTTGATCATTTAATTGAACCGTTTCTTTTCCAGACCGGAATGATTCTACAGCACGCAACTACATTGTCTTTTAAAACAAGAACTGGCTGCTCAAATTTGTATTCATTGTGCATTTTTTCAAATCCACGTGACATCGTAATTACACATCGAGACAAGGCTTTTAATTTGACAGGGCCAAATCGTTTCCTTTTTAGTGATTGTGATTGGTTGCAGCTGGTAGTTTTTCTTTGCCAGCATACACTGGCTTTGTTTGAACAGTGTCAGCGGTGGAGCCTGCTTTACATTTGAAGTCAACCTAAAAAGACTGTATCAGCCGTTAAGCACGGTGGTGGTGGCATCATGCTGTGGTACGGGCGCATCGCACAAAGTGGATGCAAGTTTTAAAAAATGGTGAAGTACTACCTCCAAATAATTTTATTTCACCTCCGATAAACGGCTAAATAACTGAAAATTGGACACGGGTCAAAACTGGTGAAGCTTCTGAGATGGCTGTTCCAAAACCCCAATGGAAAATTTTAGACTATGACCAAAAGTTGGGAAGCCAAATAATTTAAATTAAATCTATCAATTCAGACAAAACAAGCGATCAAATATCAAACAGAAAGTGTTGATGTAAAAAAGCCCGTGGTTCCGTTGGGAGACGTTTAACCAAACATCAGTGAGGTGTATGTATATATTTGAGCCTGTATGTGTTGTTTTAATGTGTGGATTAGAGCAAATTCAAAATTTTTATTTCTGCACTTGTTTTTAAATATAATTGAAGTTGGATGTTGTAAAACATCCATCCTAGAAAAACCTCAAGTAATTCAAACTAGAGAAATTGTATTTCCTGTGAAAATACAGTGTGAATGCTTATTGCTGAAGAACTTGCTGAAAAACAGCTGAAATTAGCTGAAAACATGCTGAAATGTAGCTGAAATGGAAGAACGAGCCTAAATTAGCAGAAGCAGAAAGAGCACATATTTGCTGACTTAGGTTTAAAAAAGCAGAAATGAGCACAAAAATTAGGAAATTAGCTAAAAAAATATGACATTAGCAAAAAATAGCTAAAAAGTAGATGAAAAGGCAGAAAGAAACTTAAACTAGAAGGATGTGTAAAAAGCTGAAATGAGCTAAAAAAATGTGTAATTAGCTGAAACAGCTAAAAATAGCATAAAGCATCTAAATAGTAGCAGAAAATGCTGAAACTAGAAGAAAAAAGCTGAAAGGGGCATACCAAGCTAAAACAAGAAGAAATAAGGTAATTAGGCTGAAAGTAGCAGAAGTTACCACAAAAAAACTTGAATTTATCTAAGAACTGCTGACATTAGTTAAAAACTGCTGAAAAGTAGCTAAAAAAGGCAGAAAGAAGCTAAAATTACAAGGAGGAAGTGGAGAGCGCACATTTTTGCTGAATTAGGCTGAAAAAGTTGAAACGAGTGCAAAAAATGTGGAATTAGCTACAAAAGCTAAAAAGAGCAGAAAACATCTATTTTATTAAAACATCTAACAGCTGAAATAGCAGAAAAAGCTGAAACTTGCAGAAATCAGCTGAAAGGAGCATAACAAGCTAAGTTAGTGGAAGGAAGTTAGAAGAAGCACAAAAATGTTGTAGTTAGCAGAAATAATCTGAAAGGAGCACAAAAGGAGGTGAAAAACAGCTGAAATTAGCTGAAAAAAAGTTTAAATTTGCAGAAGAAAGCTGAAAGAAGCTGAAAAGGAGCAGTAAAAGGTTGTAAACAGATCTAAAGATTTGATGTAAAATGAGCTCAATTCATTTTCTACGAGGAATAAAATGGCAGAAAAGGCTAAAATATTTCAAAAAGCTAAAGTTGCACCAATACCAAAAGTCATATCAGGATTGTCCTTAAAGAGCTGAACGTTTTGATTTATGATTTGTTGAAATAGATGAAAACTGTAGGACGAGAATTGCACAGAAAAATCTACGTGAGAGAAATGGATCACAGTAGAGTGAATGCTTCATAAACATTCACAATAACTCAAAGTCCCAAATTAATGAGATTTATGCCCGTGGGTGGATGTAAACTTCTGACCACATTAGGAAGGAAACATCTACAGTTAGGAGCATCAACACAGCTTGCCTACAGAAAACTGAAAGTGTTCATAATTTATGAAATACAAAGTTTGGGACATTTGATCTCAGATTAAAAGTTTTAACATGAAAGCAAAGAAAGCCGGAACAGAACCTTTCTCCCGGCGATGTAGCCTCCAGCGGCCCCAAAGCTCTTGGTGAAGGTCCCCATCATCACGTCCACGTCATCTGGGTTCACATTAAACAGCTCGGTCACCCCCCTCCCTGTGGGCCCCACTGCTCCAATGCTGTGGGCCTCGTCCAGGTACAGGTACGCTTTGTACTTCTTCTTCAAGGCGATGATTTCAGGTAGCTGCACCACTGAGCCCTCCATGCTGAAGACAGAGGAGGTGAAGATCACAAACGAGAAGATTTTAACATCTTAAACCCAACATTACATAATAACTAGAGAAACTGCATTTCCTGTGAAAATGCAGTGTGAACGTTTATTGCTGAAGAACTTGCTAAAAACACCTTAAATTAGCTAAAGTAGCTGCAATGGAAGAACAAGCCTAAGTTAGCAGAAGAAAGCAGAAAGAACACATATTTGCTGAATTAGACTGAAAGACGCAGAAATGAGCACAATTAGGAAATTAACAAAAAAAAGGTAAAATTTGAAAAAAAAAAAAAAAGTCTGAAAAGTAGCTGAAAGGCAGAAAGAAACTACCAGCAGGAAGCAAAAGAGCTGAAATGAGCTCAAAATTAGGAATTAGCTGAAAAAACTAAAATAAAACGGCTAAATAGTAGCTGAAAAAGCTGAAACTAACAGAAAAAGCTGATACTAACATAATTAAGCTGAAAGGAGCATAACAAGCTGAAATGATCAGAAATAAGTTACCGGCTGAAAGTAGCAAAAATTACCACAAAAGAATTTAATTTATCCAAAAACGGTCGAAATTAGCTAGAAAAAGCTAAAAAAAAAAAAGGTGGCTGAACAGGTAGAACAAGCTTAAATTAGCAGAAGAAAGCAGAAATAAAACATGCTTGCCCAGTTAGGCTGAAAGGAGCAGAAATGTGCACAAAAAGTGGAAATTATCTGAAAAAAGCTGAAATTAGCAAAAAATAAATGCATAAAAAAACAACCTGAAAAGTAGCTAAAAGGTAGGAAGAAATTTAAATTACCAGAAGGCAGTGGAGAGATCATGTTTTTGCTGAAGTAGGCAGAAAAAAGTTGAAATTAGTGCAAAAAATGTGATTAGCTGAAAAAGCTAAAATTAACATAAAACAGCTAAATAGTAGCTGAAATAGCAGAAAAAGTTGAAACCTGCAGAAAGAATCTGAAAGGAGCACAAAGGAGCTGAAACCCCCCCAGCTGAAAGTAGCTGGAAAAAAGTTTAAATTTGCAGAAGGAAGCTGAAAGAAGCTGAACCAGAACAAAACGTGAAAGGAAAATGGCAGAAAAGGCTAAATATTTCAAAAAGCTAAAGCTGCACCATTACCAAAAGTCAGAGCAGGATTGTCCTGAAAGAGCCGAATGTTTTGATTTGTGATTTCTTTAAATGGCACAAAAACAGTTGAACGAGAAAGACGCTGAAAAATGTACGGAAGACAAATGGATCATAATTGTGTGAAAGCTTCATAAAACGTCACACAATAACAAACTATTATATGATTTGACCTTTTTCCAGTTTCCTCCTCATTCTCCTCGTTTTCAAACCGTCCAGGCTCCAAACAGCCAGAACGAATGTTGTAACTGAGGAATGGTTCAATCCCTGACCCGTAATTCTTTCTTCGGCTGTCTGCAGCCCAAATGATAGAAGACAGAGCTGAACCAGGACCGTTGTGGACTTCAAAGGGACGGCTGGGATATAGCTAAAGTATGCTCATCTGGGCCTTTTGATGTTCCACGGAGGAGACGGGTGAAGCACATGTTCTGTCAGAACTGTCCCCAAAACGCAGCGCTCTGCTCTGATGTATGAGGTTGACGCCACCGCCTGATTAAACGAGACAAAGACTTGCTGTTTGCAGTGGATCCAAGTGGCGTTTTAATTCTGGTAGCCATGTTTAAGCTTTTTACTCTTGTTCCTTATTAAAAAAAAAAAAAAGTGTTGCGTTCAAGATCTGAAGTTCAGAGCAAAACGAAAGAAACACAATCGGAGCCGAGGGTGTGGAACTGAGACGCTCCGCTTGGCCTTGATTTGGAGCTAACGAGCAGATGGAGGGTCAGTACGACTCAGGGTAGCTCGCTGCCAGGAGGGACGCCAAAAAAAAAAAAAAGGGTTTCCTTTCTTCAGTAATCAAACGCTACTCAGCCACACACACTGACACCCATATTCATCCACCTGCAGGCGCACACACACGTACTGTTCAAAGGGTGGAGAGGGAAGCTTTTGAAAAACAGACCATTACAAAACTCACCTCAGGTCATAATAAATAAATAAAATCTGAGTGTCAGTGAGGAACTGCTAAAAACTCCCCTGAAAGCTCACTTCAAAATAAAGGCGTGGCTGTTGTGGTGCGACCTGGTCACTGAGGTGTTGAGAGGCGTCAGCACTCGGAGCATGTGTTGTGGATTACTCTTAGCTACTACCATGACAAACGTTAACTTAGTATGCGAGTTGTAGTCTTTTCATGTTGTCGGGGTGACTCCTGAAGTTAATCAGTTGTAGATGATCATCCAGTGACGACTCACGGGTACGGCTCAAAACTTGTTTACTTTCTGGACGAGTCTGAAACACGAGACGACAATGTCCCCCTACTTTATTTTTATTTATTCTGAATCAGCGCAGAATCCTGGAGAGTGGAGGGAGAAATCTCATACACCACCAGGCACAAAGGTGGAGCCAGGGGGTGGCCAGTGGTGGCCTTGGCCCCCACACATTGATCTTCAGCCCAGTCGTTTGTCAAGAAAGAGGAAAGTGTAGTTTTAAACAAGTTAAATGATCAGGGTGGCTGGTTTACACATCCATCCATCCAACCATCAACTATCATCCATCCATGAGCTATCCATCATCCATCCATGAACTATCCATCATCCATCCATCCATCCATCCATGAACTATCCATCCATCCATCCATCCATGGACTATCCATCATCCATCCATCCAACCATCAACTATCATCCATCCATGAACTATCCATCATCCATCCATCCATCCATGAACTATCCATCCATCCATCCATCCATGAACTATCCATCAT